CACATTCAATGCAGACTAATGTCTGAGAGACCTTGCTCTAGCTCTGCCTCAGTTGCCTGAGATGTGAAAGGAAAGCATGAGTCCAATCTCCTCTGAGGACTTTGCCAGCTCTGACAGCTCAAGAATCAACACTATGAAGACAAGCACAAGTCTTAGGTGAAGGGCTTGTGAGAATGTGGTTTGCTGTCCAGAGAATGGCTTCCCACGGCTTCCCAGGAAGCAGGGAACAGCCTATGAGTGTTCAGATGAGGTTCTGTTGGAGACAGCTGTATCTGTTGCTCTCTGAAGAGTTTGGCATTTACTCCAGTACTTTGTACTGGAGAGGAGTTTTCAGCTCGCTGCCATGCCCAGAGATATGGGTGCTGGGGAAGCCAGATGTTACCAGATCCTGATAGTTTTTCCATATAGGGTGACAGCTCTTTTTTTGACACAGATGCAGTATGAGCTAAGGCTAAAGGCAGATGAGTGGTCTTGAATTCCATTCCAAGTGGCTATTAGGGAAAAGTTCACAACATGCACTGAGTATGCTGTGGTAATGAGCCCACCTAAAATCATACAGCATTGTGCCCTCCAAGGCTTGATATGGGGCATGCACCCAGGCTACAAAGCAGCAAGAACAAGAGAAAACCATATCCCGGGCGCAGACTCTTGGGGTTAGTGAGCTGCCCCTTTCCAAAATCTGCCACCGTCTGGGTTTTGACACCCCCTCCCTTTTCCTCTTTCAAGTACTTTATGGTTTTTATTGTTTCTGTCCAAGTAAATGGTAAACACTTGAAAAGAAATATTCTACCACTTTTTTAAAAACTAAGCTTTGTAATGGAGAGATGGATCTATTAATTATTAATGAAGTCAATATAATTGAACACCTTTACCATGTACTAGTGAAGGGGAAATGAAAATTAAACACAAGAGACTTAGTTCTCCTTGTTGAAAATAAAGAGATTTTCTTCACTTCCTCTTTTTTTTTTTTTTTTTTTTTTCCTTAGAGCATTTGCTTTAGAAAACCCTTAAGTACTTTCTTTTCTCCTGGAAAGTGGACAAATCTTTTAGAAACCTTACTGGCTTTGGTCTGCTCTGTGACCTAGGAAGGTCTTTCTCCAGCACCTGGCCATCATCTCTTCAAAATGTAGGCAGCAAAGCCCTGTGTCCCCACTTGTGGGGGAGATAGGGCCAAACTTCTGTACCTTGCTGCAGGCATCCACCCCTCACCACTAAGACCAGAGAAGCTCTTTCTCCTCTAGATGTAGCCATTTAGCTAAAATGAGTGGGCCTCCTACCCATCAGGTCAAGTTAGGATGAGCTAGTGTGACAAATAGTGCTGTCTAGTCCTCTATTGTTTGTCTTGTGAACACGACTTAACACAGTGCACCTGATTGGCTACAAAAGGGTGATATTTCTTTCTGTCTTAACAGTCTCTTAGCAGACAGCTCAGGATTGCACTGTTGATCCTGCTGCACCTGTGAGAGACTTTAGTGTAGGTCCAGTACAGACAGTGTTGCCTAGTGCATCTCCTACAACTGGATGCACTTGAAAAGCTCAATGTTGAGCCAAAGAAACCTGACCAAAAAGCAGATCTATGTATGATCCACGTATGCAGAGATCAAAGATAGGCAAAGCCAACCATGTTGTTTAAAGATGCAAATATAGATTGGGTCAAATGGAAAGGTAAGGATGCAGTCATCCTAAAAGCCAAGATTGTGGTTACTTAAAGGGAAAGCAGTTACTGTTAGGCAGTATCATGAAGGAGGCTTCAGGGTTTTGCCAATGTTCTTTTCATTTAACTGGATGGTTGTTAGGTGGGAGATTAATTTTAACAAGGGCTTAACCTGGATATTGTTCTGATACTATCCTTTCAGTGTGTTATATTCAACAATAAGCACAGGCTTAAGGTAAGAAACAAAAGTGGGCTGAAGATACTTCAGGAAATAGAATACAGATATTTTCCCCCTCTGCCAAGACTCACAATGCAAAATAGTTGCACTTTGGCCAAATAAGAAGACAAGGTGGTTGAAGCACCCACTCTGACCAGAGATCACAAAAATTTTCCCTTGGGGCTGGGGACACTCAGAGTCCTGAGTTCAATCCCTCATACAGGGAAAAAAAAAAAAAAAAAGTTCCCCACAAGGCAACCTAATGTGAAATCTCCCTCCTGCCAAGACGAGTGTCAGCGGCAAGGTTCAGCTACAACCTGTCTTTCCCAAGCAGCATGAGGGACACCGGGGTCCAGCCTTGTAGCACTCCCAGATGCTTGGGAAGCTGAACAAGTCTTCAGAAAAGTCACCCAAGATCTAGACTCTGCCATGCTGGGTCCTTTGCTCCACGGGACTGTGACCTGCTGTAAGAAGCCCAAATTCTCCTCCCCAGTAGCTTGTCCTGCACAGATACTGATTCTGAACGTCTTCAGACTCAGGACACTGCGACAGAGGCAGGGCTGGGGAGGAGCAGCTGGAGGCCCTCGATCTGGGGAAGGAGGTTCTCTGAGGCTGCAGCCTGTGGCTGGGGAGGCCGTGCCTTACTTGGCTGCCCTTCCACAGCTGTCCTAGTGGAAGGGCTGCCTCCCGGCAGTGGGGCTGGGGCAGGCAATAGAGGGTGGGTCTGAACCCAGTCAGCACTAACACCGTGGATCTCTCATAACCTACTTCGGAAGCAGTAAGGATTACAAAGTTACCCAAACCTTCTAAGCCTCAGTTCCCCCCGTAATAATAGCATACTTTTTTTTTTTTTTTTTTTAGCACCAGCAATGTGCTTGGGACTTTCATATTCCTTGTTCCTGATCCTTAACGGAAGTCGATGCGTACCCATTTCTGGCTTGCAGGACTCACCAGCAGGGTGCGCTGTAACAAGAGAAAGCAGGCTTCCCAAGGTGTAGTGCTGAGCAGGGAAGGGCACAAGGACCCCTGCACTTGCCTGAACAGGCATTTATTCTGCTGAGCAATCTCGTCGCCAGCTTTCCTGTGTGCCTTGTGAGAGCACAGTGGAGCAAAATGGAGAAAGATGAGGGTCCACTCAGGCCTCCTGGAGCCACTCCTCTCTCCCAAGGGCCCTTAGCAACCATCCCTGCCCCACCCCAAGCCACAGTGGTCCTGGGGCTCAGCACCCAGAGGCCCGTCGCGCCCTGCCACTTCTCCAGATGCCCCAGCCCCCTCCACCAGCAGCGCTGAGCAGGGAAGTTTCCTGGCCTTTCACAGGGTTCATTCTTCTCCACTTTGGGCTTAGTTTCTTTCTATTTCAAGTATTACACCTTAAGTATTTGAAAAGAAAGCACAGCAAAGCTAAGCCAAGGCTTCTGGGGGAGGGGGAAAAACCCTAAAATCACATGCCTTTTCCTGAACTCAGCTGTAAATTCACAAAACAGGGCTTTGGGACTCAAACTGTGATTGTCACAGCCCTGAGGCAAAGCAAGCAGCAGCTAGGGTCCTCTGAAAAGGCAGTGGCACATTTCCTGGTCCTGCTCTTGGAATTTCTTTCCAAAGGCTACATTTTTCAGTGACACAAGCTTTCTGAGCTTCCGAGTCCTCACAATAGTCAATAAGAGCATCTGTCAAAGTTGAACAATAAATTAGTGCCAGCAGTTTATTAATTAAAACAGTTTTGATGGTAAATGCAATAAGTGCTCTGTTATCGTTTGTGTTTAGATGTCCTCCAAAGCCTCATGCAGTTGGGGAGAGGCTTCTGGAGTTTGTGATTGATTCTTGATCCAACGCTGGGATTATGGGTGTGTGTGCGGGGGGGGGGGGCACTCTGCATTGCAATGTGAGGAGGGGGACAGGCTAGCTAGCTGCCTGAGCTACTGCCACCCCCTTTGAGCTCTTGCTCTTTGCCGCTGCCATGAAAAGCTGCTTTCTGCCATGTGCCACTCTGCCTTGGAGCCAGGCAAGTTTGGACTGAAACCATGAACTAAATAAACCTTTCCTTCCCTAATTTTGAGTGTTAGGTATTTGAGTTTTATTTATTTATTTATTGATTTATTTATTTGCAGAACCAGGGATTGAACTCAGGCCCTTGAGCTTGCCGGGGAAGCACTTATTCCACTGAGCCATCTCCACGGCCCCTATTTGTTTATTTTTTGCAGAACCGGGGATTGAACTCAGGTCCTTGCACTTGCCAGGTCAAGTGCTTACTCCACTGAGCTATCTCCCCAGCCCCCGAGTGTTAGGTATTTGTCCCAGCAACGAGAGAAGATTAACTAAGACATGCTCTATATGAAGGCTGTAGATAGAGCCGGGTGTGGCATTACACTCTTGTAATACCAGCACTCCAGAGGCTAAGGGAGGAGGATGGTCTTAAGTTTAAGACCAGCCTGGGCTACATAGAGAGCTGAACTCATTGTGAGATCTTGACCAAAAAAAAAAAAAAAAAAAAAGAGAAGAAAAGAAAAAATTGTAGATCTTTTATTAGCTTTTCTGCATTTATACTTCATACATGTCTTATATTTATATTTATAGTAAAATACAAATATCATCAAATACTTGTTATTATTAAATTTTCAAGCATATTTAAAAGTAGAGAAAATATTTTGGTATCCAACACCCAGTTCCAGCTATTAACTTTCAGGGGCAACATTGCCTGTATTCCCAAGTCATAGCTCTACTGGATCATTTCATTTTATCTATAAACTTTTAGGTGTGGATGTCCAAAGGCTAAGGACTCTCACATAAAACATCAATACTATTTCTCATCTTTAAAAAAAGGAACAATTCTTCATTATCCACCAGATGTAAGTTCATCTCACACTCTTTTTAGTCACGGTCAAATCAAGTTCTTCCCATGTCCCTAAAATGCAATCACTAAGGGTTCTAATCATGTTCCATTATGTGAGAGGGTAGAGTCTCAGCCCCCAATACATCCCACTCTTGCATTTCTTGGATATATTTAGGTTGTATCAGCCTCAGGAAAATGGTCTGCAGTGTGGGCACAGACAGCAAATCACATTGCTACTTACTCCAGCCACTGGGTCTACCCCACCATGCTCACAGGTACCCAGCAGTCTTTGTGCCTACCTGGGGCAGACAGGAACAGAACCTCAGGATATGCCACTCAGCCTCTTGTCCCACGCAGACTCCACCAGTGACAAGTGTTTCCTTTTCTCTCTCTCTGAAGGCATCTTTATTGCAAAGTTAGCCAATAGCGTCTGGTTTCCTGTGAGGAAGACTTTCTAGATGCAAGTCAGCTTTGCAAGCTCCAGGCTGCAGACCAGCTGACCACAGGAGGGTCTAAACTTAATCATGAAAGACTGGAGCAGAGCTTGGGGTGCATCTGGAGGTAGCAGGAGAGTTGGGGGCTGTGCCATTTGCCCTCCCCCTGTGTGCAGGTCTGGGTGCAGGTCCTGTGGGTGGCACAACACAGTGGGCACCTTCAGGCAAGCGAGGGGAGTTCACAGAGCCTTCACTTTCCTGCCTGGAGAAGGCATCCATAGTACACCCTAGCAAGCACTGGAACACAGATAATGGGCCCCATCCCTGCTCCTCAGGGTGCTTCAAGGCACTGCGCACCCCGCCCTGGCAGGATGAGTCAACTCTGCATCTGTGTGAGATACTGGGAGACGAGTATATGCGCTGAGCTCCAGGAATGCATATGCAGCTTGACATCTGTCTCCAGAGGAGGAAGTCCCTTGCAAGACCCCTTTCTTCCTTTCCATCCTGGCCTCAAGACTCTCTGGCTCTCCCTTGCCACTGGCCCTTCCACCCCAGTACCCTCTCGGGCCCACTGTGGCCAGCTGCCTTGGCCCTGGCCCTGCCTTAACTCTTCCATTCCTTCCTGTGCTTCTTGCAGGGAGCTGGCCAACACTGCTTTTCTTTCCATCCCACATGTCAGTGCATGTCAGTGACTTCCACTGGGAAAGGTCTTCATCTCCCCCAGGCCCTAGTGGCTCCTCATGCCTAGGCAAGTCCTTCCTTCATGTCTTTCCCTTTGACATTCCTCCTTGTTATTCTTTACTCAAAAGCCAGAGAGCTCTTCCTAAACCCCACATCTGCCAAAACAAAATCTCCAGTACCTCCTCATCCTCAGCCTTTTAAGCATGGTCTTGTGTGATGGCCCCTTCTTATTTCCCACTTGCCTCTGACCACTTCCACTTCCTCTTGAGTGCCATCCCCTCCCACCCCACCTCGCAGGGCTGTGGGACCTTGATTTTACCCTTCCTCTTTGAAGCTAACAAGCCAGCCTCCTCAGTTGGAGAGATGCTGTAGCAGATAGGACTGAGGAACAGCAGGCAGGCTAGGTATCAGCCCGCTCCTATGAGTTCTCTCGCCCCCAAGTGCATGGGTGATGCCTGCAGGCCTGAGTGCCTGTGTGTGTGGACATGGTAAGAGGGGATCTCTGAGCCTGGCTGCCTGTTGCTCTACAGCAGGCAGGAAGCAAGTCTGCTCTTCAGTCCTGAGGAAGATGGTTTCTCATTCCTCTAGGATACTCTCAGTAAATGACTCTAAGAAATGGTCCAAGTCAGAAAGGGCTGGGTCTCCGCCTTCTAGGCACATTCAGAGACAGGAAGCATGCAGGCAGCCTTCGCACTACTCCCTACCTCCTCAGGCTTCTGTCAAGGAATCTGTGACTCTGCCAGGGGACTCTCTTCTCCTGGGCCTCCTTACCTCCTCTCAGCACTCTCACCCTGCTGTAGCCTCATTCCTTAGACCTCATCTCTATTCCTCTTGGCCAAGCCCCATTGACACAAGCCTTGTTGGAGCTGCCCTTGATGGTGCACACCCTCATTTTCTCTTCCGGTTGAGGCAGTCAGTGCTGGTGGAAACCTGCATTCTGTTAGGCAGAGAAACATGGGTGTGGTGGGCTGACTGAGAAGTAGGGCTGAGGCTGTGAGCATGGTGGGGACAGGCAGGCGAGGACCAGAAACTTTGTTTGAGTACTGCTTGTGAGACTAATGGAACTGGCATGGAAGAGAGTAGTTAGGCCATGTTTCTATCCTGAGATATTCCTCTGTTATGCTATGGGCTCTGGGAGCTCTGGGGAAAGCCACAACAAATAATTGTGCAACACTGTATGTATGCATGCTGGGCAGTATCTCAAGCCACCCCCACACATGAATTTACATCATCCCTCCCTCAGTCCCACAGAGCGGGCACCACACAGCTCATATGTGGCATGGCCAGGAGATGCGTGCAGCCCCAGATCACTCTATGCCATGTACTCCAAAGGACTGATGCAAAGGGCTGGGGAGATGGCTCAGTGGAATAAGCACTTCCCCGGCAAGTGCAAGGGCCTGAGTTCAATCCCTGGTTCCACAAAAAACAAAACAAAACAAAACAAAAAACTATTCTCAAAGGACTGATGCTCTTCTAAGGGAATGGAAGTTGGTGGGCTCTTGTGCTTTATGTACAATATACAGCCCCAAAGACAGTATTTGCATGGAGTTAAATTTTCTTAGTAGTGGGTGGTCATACTCTTATAATGTTTAAAAAGATTTGCTTGGGGGTGATAAGGAAAAAAACTTGAGGAGCCCTCATCCAAGCTCTTAGTTAGACTGCCGTGCTGTGTCTCACATTGTAAACCCAGAGTTGTAGAATAACATGACAAAATGAAATTAGTACAGACCGCTAAGTTAAGTAGAAATTAATATGTAGCCAGAGAGGGATTGGGCCACTAAGGAAGTCAACACACAAAAAAGTAAAGATACCAGGATTGTGGTTGGGGGCAAATCTGAAGAGAGCCAGGTCTCAAAAACCAGGCCTGCAGCCTTCCTTGAAATGAACTACAACTTGAGATTATACTGTAATCAGCAGCCCAGTGTGGTTAGATGGGCATCAGATGCGTAGGTGGTGACCAGAACAGCCTGGCCCACACTCCCCTCCCTTTCCAGGAATGCCTCTGCTCTTTCTGTTGGCTCAATAGTAGCTAAGCAGCTATACTTGCAATCCTACAGGTTAATTGTAGTCTGACCCACACTGTACCCACATTGTGACTTTGCTGTATAAATTTTTCTGCTAAAAAATACCTCTGGAAGCTACCTATTCAAGACCCTTCCTGGAAATCCAGGAGCTATATTCTGCTCATTTCCAATGAAACTCTCCTAACTTTCTCCTCTGGCTTGAGAATTCATTCTTTAACATTGTGAGACCACCATCTCAGTTTATCAGATGTCAGAGAGGCTGGGAGTTGTTTTTCCATATTAATATCATCATGAAAATAAGTCAGTGACTGGATGTGAGGATAAAAAAGCTGCTAGGATAAAAGAGAAGGAGCTGATAAATAGCAAGTCTTTCTCCATGTCAAGTACTGTACTTGTTCAGATTGTCCATAATATAACACCCTCCAATTATTGTTATTTCCACTTTCAGTTGAAGAGATGAGGAGAAAAGAGTGAGTCTTAGGTCAATCCAGGATTTGAACACTGTGACTCCAACATAGATGGAGTGATAGAGGAGGACTTCGTTGAAAAATAATGTAGGGAGACTCCAAAGATAGTTTCTTGCTTCACGAATCAAAAGCCATATGCACGGAGGTTTCAAAAGCTAGATGAACCCAGCAGTTGTTCTGAGTTCTGAGCTCAGTTGGCCCCCTTCCAAGATGGCTCCCAGCCAATTGCCTCTCCTGCAGGATGTCCGAACCCTCAGTACTCATCCCCAGCTGGTGTGGTGCATCTACTGTTCCTTTCTATTGCTGTTTCTCTCTGTGGAGGCTTCTGGTGTTGCCAGCAGTCACTGTGTGTCAGGCAGTGTGGGGAAGCACTCAGACTGCTTCAAAGCTCAGGAACATCTAAGAACACCTGAGGATGTGACCCCACTTGTCTAGCACAAGTGCACAGTGGGATGCCATTATGTAACGGTGACTTATTACAGGTAAACGTGCATGTGTTGGTTACAGTACTATGTAAGAATGTAAATATAAGATAACACCTGTATAAGAATTGCACAAAGATGCAGGTGGCTCTTGCACTCATGCTCCGCTTTGCTCTGTGCTGCCTGTTGTTGTTGCTGATGTCTTGTACATGTGTGTTAACCTTGGGACTCCACCCAAGGAAATCTCCCTTGGGTTCCCATGAGCAGGCCAACAACTGATGTAGTTGGCAGGACATTGAGGTGAGTAGTCCTTTGGAAGATATGGAAACAGCACCGGAAGGCAAGGGAGAGACCCAGGGAACAGCTAATAAGTGACCCCACCCTTGCCATGACTACCTGTAGCCACCTTCTTGGCTTAAAATGCCCTGGAGGACTGGAAGACAGTCTGTTTGGAACCTGGGGATGCCTTTGAAGACTTAGAAGCAATAAGCGGACAAATTCCTTTCTCTTCTGTGAAATGTTGGGGCAGGTGGCCTGATTGTTCTTTACTCTCTTCTGCTGCATAAATCAAGAGGCCAGGCATCCATTCAGATTTGGACAAGATCAGCTACTCCTTGCCACAGGATTAAGCAATGGTCGTATTAAAATATGGGATGTATACACAGGAAAACTCCCCCTTAATTTGGTAGATCATATTGAAGTGATCAGAGATTTAACTTTTGCTCCAGATGGGAGCTTGATCCTAGCATCAGCTTCAAGAGACAAAACTCTCAGAGTGTGGGACCTAAAAGATGATGGAAACATGATGAAGATATTGAGAGGGCATCAGAATTGGGTATTCAGCTGTGCATTCTCTCCTGACTCTTCAATGCTGTGTTCAATTGGAGCGAGTAAAGCAGTTTTCCTTTGGAATATAGATACATATACCATGATATGGAAACTAGAAGGGCATCACCATGATGTTGTAGCTTGTAACTTTTCTCCTGATGGAGCGTTACTGGCTACTGCATCTTATGATACTCATGTGTATATCTGGAATCCACATAATGGAGACATTCTGATGGAATTTGGGCACCTGTTTCCCCCGCCTACTCCAATATTTGCCAAAGGAGCAAACGACCGATGGGTACGGTCTGTATCTTTTAGTCATGATGGACTGCACATTGCAAGCCTTGCTGATGATAAAATGGTGAGGTTCTGGAGAATCGGTGAGGATTACCTAGTTCAAGTTGCACCTCTGAGAAATGGTCTGTGCTGTGCCTTCTCTCTGATGGCAGTGTTCTAGCTGCTGGGACACATGATGGAAGTGTGTATTTTTGGGCCACTCCAAGACAAGTTGCTAGCCTTTAGCATTTGTGTCACGTCAATCCGAAGAGTGATGCCCACCCAAGAAGTCCAGAAGCTGCCAATTCCTTCCAAAGTTTTGGAGTTTCTTTTATATCATATTTAGTCAGCTTTTTAAAAATATATTGGGAATTGTACTCAGGACCTCCTGCTTGCCAGGCAGGCACTAGGCCATGGAGCTAAACTCCCAGCCCTTGTATTTTATTTAG